TAGTTTTTATAATTAAAAATATCACAATCAAAAACAAATAAACTGTTTTTACTCAAGGTCAAGTGTCAAATTTGAGAGATTAATGCAATTTGCTAAAGCAGAACCTAAGCCTGATGCACCTTCATCACCAATTTAATTTCTACTTTTTAAATATTGAAGAAAAAATATATCATTAAATAGTTAATTAGAAGGAAAAAATGAAGAAAAAATATGAAATAATAAGAAATAAATAATAAAAGCAAAAGTTGAAAATAAAATGATGAGCTAAATTAACAAAGAAAGAACAAAAAAAAAGCAAGCACAATAAAAAGAAAAAGAAAAAAGAGCTTTATTGTTTTTAATTAGTTTTTATAATTTAAAATATCACAATCCAAAACAAATAAACTGTTTTTACCAAAGGTCAAATGTCAAATTTGATAGATTAATGCAATTTGATAAAGCAGAACCTAAGCCTGATGCACCTTCATCACCAATTTAATTAGAACTTTTTAAATATTGAAGAAAGAATATATCATTAAATAGTTAATTAGAAGGAAAAAATGAAGAAAAAATATGAAATAATAAGAAATAAATAATAAAAGCTAAAGTTGAAAATAAAATGATGAGCTAAATTAACAAACAAAGAACAAAAAAAAAAATCAAGCACAATAAAAAGAAAAAGAAAAAAGAGCTTTATTGTTTTTAATTAGTTTTTATAATTTAAAATATCACAATCCAAAACAAATAAATTGTTTTTACCCAAGGTAAAGTGTCAAATTTGAGAGATTAATGCAATTTGCTAAAGCAGAACCTAAGCCTGATGCACCTTCATCACCAATTTAATTTCGACTTTTTAAATATTGAAGAAAAAATATATCATTAAATAGTTAATTAGAAGGAAAAAATGAAGAAAAAATATGAAATAATAAGAAATAAATAATAAAAGCTAAAGTTGAAAATAAAATGATGAGCTAAATTAACAAACAAAGAACAAAAAAAGCAATCACAATAAAAAGAAAAAGAAAAAAAGAGTATTATTGTTATTAATTAATTTTTATAATTTAAAATATCACAATCCAAAACAAATAAACTGTTTTTACTAAAGCTAAAGTGTCAAATTTGAGAGATTAATGCAATTTGCTAAAGCAGAACCTAAGCCTGATGCGCCTTCATCACCAATTTAATTTTCACTTTTTAAATATTGAAGAAAGAATATATCATTAAATAGTTAATTAGAAGGAAAAAATGAAAAAAAAATATGAAATAATAAGAAATAAATAATAAAAGCAAAAATTGAAAATAAAATGATGAGCTAAATTAACAAAGAAAGAACAAAAAAAAGCAATCACAATAAAAAGAAAAAGAAAAAAGAGCTTTATTATTTTTAATTAGTTTTTATAATTTAAAATATCACAATCCAAAACAAATAAACTGTTTTTACTTAAGATCAAGTGTCAAATTTGAGAGATTAATGCAATTTACTAAAGCAGAATTTAAGCCTGATGTACCTTCATCACAAATATATTAATAACTTTTTAAATATTGAAGAAAAAATATATCATTAAATAGAGTAAGTTACCATGCAAATTTACAAAAAGCAAGTTTTATATATATTTTAAATATTTTTTATGAATTTTTTTCTTTCTTAGGTTTTCAAAATTTATTTTTTTCAAAAAAAAGATATGTTATTCTTTCTAAAAATTAGCTTTATTTATAATTTTATTAAGATATGAATTAAATAGGTATTTCACTAGAGTTAATTAGGAGGAAAAAATGAAGAAAAAATGAAGAAAAAATATGAAATAATAAGATTAATTAATAATTAATAAAATTAACAAAGAATGAAAAAATAAGAAATCATAATAAAAAGAAAAAGGAAAAGAAATCAAATAAATTAAAAGAACTATAATGTTTTAAATTAACTTTTATAATTAAAAATATTACAATGTAAAACAAATAAATAGCTCTTAATAAGTGTAAGTTTTGATAAAAAAAATGAAGAAAAAATATCAAATAATAAAAAATGAATAATAAATAATTAATTAAAAATTGAAATGAAAATTAAGTTAAAATAACTAAAAAATTTTAGTTTTAACAAAAATCAATAAATAATGATGATAATTATTTTTATAAAAATTATTTATTTAAATAAATTGAAAATTAAATATACTAAAAATATCAATAATAATAAAAATAATATTTTTTAATTAAATATACTTCAGATTAATATGGAGAACTTAATGAGATAAAAGAGAAGAGCTTTTAAACTTTTTTTATTAATTTATATAAATTTAAAGGATATTAATAAAAAAATTAATAATTACTTCTTCTAATT